AGCATACAGTATATTAAATTATCAACATACCGTTAGGTCCAAATGATGATTGCGTTATCCGTGATAGTTGTTGGCATGCTTCTATATTTCTGTACACAGCATCTTCTAAGCCTCGATATGACTAAACAACAACAAAATATGGTAATCAAATAACYTATTGTACACTGAGTTTGAAATATGATTCATAAGTATCTAAACTAAGATTATATTTAGATTAAACTTATATATAATTGTAATAACATTAGAAGACTCATTCAAAAGTTCTACAAAAAATGAACGACAATAAATAGAAGGGAAGAAATGGGYGCATTAAGCTCTGTTCCAAAGACTGAAAGTCCGTATGCAACATTTGACAAGCATTTCTGAAACCATTGAAATCCAATGTTGGGTTTCCATCCTTCCTAATAAGACCGCTACGAGATAGATCTTTCATTTAAAATTGTACATTGTACAACTATCTGAAACCCTTTCCAATCATAACAATTTCACAGTACACTTCACAAAAATGCCGGTTTTTCACACTCCTTTATCAAACACGTGGTTGTCAACCAAATTGTGTTGTCAAAAAAATAAAAAAATATCAGCTATAACACAGATTCACCAGGCAAAGTATAACTATTAAGGTATAAARTAAAGTACAGATAGGTTAAATCTATGATACCTTGGCTCCATCCTTCAGCATATGCTGCATAGACGTTTTTGGGATGTGCATCGCCATCTTGGATTCTTTTGCTTATGACTACACCTACCCTGGTCGAAATGGATTGTGGGATCTAACCACAGGAATCCCGTTCTTTTTTTGCACGATGTTTATATGCCCGCAACATTTTGTACTAAGTTTCCCGGGTAGTAATTTTGGGACGTTGGAATRTATATAACTAACGAGCGTTAATTTTTGGATTTTTGCCAAAAGCAATAAGATTCTTTAAAGTCAATCGAAATTAAGGGTCAGTTTCCGCGGGTCGCAATTTTGAAAATTATGAAATTAAAAAAAAAGAGAATCGCAAAAATTAGGGAGTATTACATGAGTCTATTTCTAAAACTTCTTCTTAGTCATGTCCCTAACTGCGATTTGGCGACGCAACATAAACATAGCCGCTTGTAGACCACTGGATTGAGGCYATTACTTCTTTTCGGCCCCTGCATTGTTTAACTAGGAAAGAATAATAATTAATGTGCAAAAAACGTCATGTAAAAGTTTAGAATACGACAGTTGTAGCACTCTAGTGCGTGTATACGCGAAAAGTTGTGAATATGTATATACATTAAAGTCTGAAGTCAACAGGTGTTTTCGTCGGCAAGATAAGACGCAATTCCGATTCTGTTAGATTAATTTTAAAATACATCCTTTACTTCAAAACCTCTCTCTCTCTCTGCCGTCTCTTTCTTTTCTTTTCATTTTTTTATTGATTATCATTTATAGCGCAGCCATGCTTTCTCTTGAGAATATGATTAATGATAAAGTGCGATTAATGTGTCTTTGTCGTCCGCTTGGGACGAAAGTTACGCTTGCCACGTAATAAAGGAATAACAAAGCAGACAGCTATATTCGCCACATTCACCTATCAGATCAAGCCGTCTATTGTATGTATTGAGCGTTCGAAACTGATTGTAAGATTTTTTTGTAATTCTGTATGAATAATTTTTCGCACGGGCAGGTGCATGGAGTGTAGTTTACTTTAGTTTTTTTTTCCCTCAGGACGAGCAAGAATTACTGAATTATAAAAAGTAAGAATAAATTTCCATTTTTTTGCATTGTAAAATAAGAACAAAAGAAGCCAGCCGACTGTTCATCAAACAGCTGACATTCGCTCCGCCCAACTGACATGCGTACAATGCTTGTAAATAGACGAGTTGAGCGTGCATCGAGCTGGTTGATAGCTAAAAGTAGTCTTGATCTCACAGCATTTAGTGCTGAATAAAAGCCAAAAATAACTATGCCACACTCGAAAGGACACCGTCAAAAAGGTAAAGCAACGATGAATGGAGAAGTTCATTCGGATCACGAAGAACTCGACGAGATAGACGAGGTTTTGAGCTGCTGTTTCCCGAAAGGTTGCACCCAAAATACTTCCGTGGAACCATCGCGAGCTGTTCGCGTTATTTGCAACAATGAAGGCTGCACTTTGGGAAATTACATGCATGCAGAATGCTTCGAGGCGTTTGAGGATGATATCTTGGCGTACTTRCGAGGAACTGGAAGAGCAAGAAGTTGGTCAGAAAAACAGAGAAGGCAAAATATATGGACGAAAAAGGGCTACGACCTAGCCTTCAAATGCTGCGCCTGTGCTTGTGGTAAGGGGCATTTAAGAAAAGATTTGGACTTTATACCACCCTCTCCTACTGAAGGCCATGCACAGGCTGCAAAAGCCAAACGAAAGAAGAAGAAAACTAATGATAAACCGACCATTGGGAGTGCGACAAGGCCCAGAAGGAGCTCCCAGTCATCTGTATGCAGTCAATCCCCGCCAGAATGCTCTCCTATCTCCCCTCCCTATGTGAAAACACCCACTAAGAAAACGAAAACACACGAGCACTTCTTTGGTGACTCTTTTCCGAGCTTGGACAACATTGAACCMATCAATAAACCAACAACAAACGGCACYAATGGTACCAATGGAGCATTATCTCTGAATTTCTTTAGAAGGTCTGACTTTGAGTCGTTTCTGGCCGTACTTCCAAAACATAAAGTAAACCCCTATCATATCAAGATGGAGGAGGAAGGTATGGACGAGGCCAGACATTTCGTTCTTTCGAGTCTATCTTCGAAAATGATAACTACAGTGGATTGTGTGTTATGCAGCCGTGAACTCTCYGTATTCGACAAATACCCGCTTCTGGACGGTACTTTCTTTTTAACCCCTCGTAAGCTTGCGACATCTTGTATAGATGTCTGTCAAAACGGCAAGCCACAATATTTAACAGCTGTTTGCATGCACTGTTTGGAAGGGACGCCGAACGCCGTTCGATGTAAAACATGCACAAAACAATGGGATGGTTCGACACATCAGCTTGGTACACTCTATACATACGATATATTCGCAGCGTCACCGTGTTGTATTCAACGAGTCGCATGTCAAAATTGTTCGAAACCTGTTGTCAATTTGGAAAAGGAATCGAGTTTGCAGTTTTTCTCTGAATATTCTCAACCAYTGAAATGTCCGCACTGTGGGGTGTCTGGCTATCACTGTATTAAACCACTAACTTCGTTCGAAACACTGGTCAATGGACGCTGAACACAAAAGAAATTGTTGTCGAATATTGAAAAGCTTGGATGAGGTGACGTGTTGAAAGTGGAAATGWATTTGTAAGTTACATTACGCATACGTGAAACGCAAGGGTACTCTCCGTCTACAAAATGCATGTCACGAAGAGGAAAACATGCAAGATATTTTACTCTTYATGAAAGAAAATAATTTTGTTACAATCCCCACTAAATTGCAACATGTTTAATTATTTCATTGTACAGCACAAGGTATACTATATGTAAGTATTTTGCAGTATTTATGTCGAAAAGCATATACGCTGAAAGAAAATTGAGAAATGAAAAAATCAGGAAAAAAGGAAAGCACCCATTATGAAGTTTATTGTTATGACAAACATCGGAAAGCATGTAGAGTTTTTCAAGTGAGTCCAAGTGCATCTGAATTAAAAAACATTCATTTGATGATAATCACCAATCAAAAACCTTCGTCAGTAAATATATTCCAAGAGAAAAAGTTTATGGACCCTGCAGTTGATTAATTTAATGAATACAAGAATCAAAAAATTTTCTGTCCAAAAATTAGCTTAAAAACACTCAAATTTGTTTTTTGTAATTGTTAAAAGAGCTCAGAGAATATACTTTCTTCAGCTGGAAATTGGCTATATTTACAAAGTTATTGATTAAAGGGCCTCTCTACATCAACATTCACCACACAAAAAAAGGAATTTTTCACCATGTTTTATACCAACTTAATGATATTAGATTGCAGCAAAACTGTTCCTCAGACAATTATTAAAAATTTCAATTACCACATAAATAATTTTTTACCTTAGACCCTTAATTTTTAAAGTTATATAATTGATGATTTTAAAAAAAAGAAAAAAAAAACTCATTGTGAAAATTTCCCTTTGAGTGGCCTTGCTTGAGTAGACTCACCACACAACTMTTATCTTTGATAAATGCACACTTTTAAGCATTATTTTGAGATAATCACTTGAGTACAAATATGGAAGGGTATGGAAAACTTTATATGCTTTAACCTAAATGTTAATGGGCAATTCCCTATTTTTTTTTAACATTTTGGAACTGAGGAAGGTACAGGTTTTCTGTCAATCSTAAATAAATAACAAGGCTWATAATTGGCTAATTATTAACAGCCGACTACAAATTTATTCTCTTGCTTGTTATATTGCCCTAAGGGAAACTTTACAGACTTCYATTCATGGTCCACAAAAAGTAACTCTAAAAGAACTCTTTATCAATATGGCCGCCAAAATCTTTAAATTCTATTGTTTCAAGTATCGATTGAGTAAAAAACTATGGGGTGCCCTGAGGGCAATAAACAAGAAATTCATAAACTGTAAAGCTTCTAGAATGCTATGAGATTAAATATCATAAAAAGTAAAAATTAAAAACATTATTTGAGTTTTGAAGCACAGSTAATAAATTTGAATTTTTGAACCCTGGACATCCCATAAYCTCTTCAAAATTCAAGATGGCAGCTGTATTAGTAAAAGATCTATTAYGTGTACACGTGCTATGCAGGATTGTTTTCTTAATGWTTGTCAAARGATAYCTGTAATGCTTGGTAACTACTGTTTGTAAGGTTTATGTACACAATGATGTGAAGTACGTACTGCTCTGTCTTGGATTCTTGTATTTCTAACAAAATTGTATGCTTACTGTCAGAATGTTACTTCATGTGAAATAAAATTGCATAAAAATTTATAAAGCTACTTCAATGAGAGTACATGGAGACTGGATTGGTGCCTTGTAAACAGCAGTTTTTGAAAGCAAGAACAACACTTTGAGTTCTTGAAGTCAAATGCAAGCATTTGGTGAAAAGGGGGTTTACTTGGATTTAATGGTTCCTTTCTTGGTGTAACATTCCCCACTTTTCCTAGTGATGTATTTTCCTATTATCCCAAATACATTGTACATGACTACCAAGACTTGAGTCCYATGGATTTAAGCCTTGGCTCTCTATTTCGTAATACCATCTCTAGGAATACAGTAGTTCAGAAAGATTTTGTTATACTAGGAAACTTGAGCAGCATAATTATGATAGAATATGCACGGTAACCTATAACATTACAGCAGAAACCGTTGCATCGCCACTTCAATATCCAAAGGAAACAGTTGGGATTTAGATTTTTCTGTGACTTGAGGGCAGAGCTTGATACTAATCAGCCAATTATTGAATGAGTTTTCGAAAAGCTCYGCCCCTCAGATTGAAAGAAAGAACAAAATCCAGACAAACTTCAAAACAAAGAGGTTGCGAGGCAACAAACTAAAATTCAAGTTTATATTGTTTAACCTGCTGACATTTGCATTAATAATGACACCGTCTCATACACCCTAATTCTCTTAAATGCATACAGCTGATAGCACGTATTAACAACACAGTTTCTACTATGATTGGTCAACTAAATATTTTATCTTGAAAATCTCAGGAAAGCTAATGATTATAAAAAGAAAAGTAAACAAAATGAAATTGGAATGATGTGTTTTTTTAATTTTTTATTTATATATTTTTTATTTTAACTTGAAAGTTTAGCATTTGACCCTGGCCTTARTATGCATACTGCCCTATAATGACGTGATATTCTCATGAGAGGTGTGTTTGTAAAGTGGACATTATACTGTTCAGTAAATTGTTTTTAACATTACAATGAAAAAATCATCGTAATAGGGCACAAAAAACAGTAATGACCAATGTGCTAAATGGTTTTAAACAGATATTGATCAAAATCAAAATGCTAATAAGTATTACATTTATAACAGTCTATCTTGCTGATCAGGAAAATGCTCTTGAGATAAGAAGTCTGTACTTGAATATTCAAATGTACAGCACTATCAAGTACATTTAATACTTTACAGCTACCTATAATATGGTTAATATGTTTTGAAGTACGTAGCMCCAGGCCTATAGACCCACTTGCCTGATGTCACTTGCTGTTGTCATGGATACGGAACATCTGCTATAAAATGCAGTGTTGTAATCACAAATCCAGTATTCTGATTGGCTAGAAAAGTATGGTACATACACCATGGTCACATTAAGTGTAGTAAAAATAGTTGAAAAAAAATTAATGTTAGTAAAGGTGTTTAATTTTATGTTTTATGTTAGGGATCAAATTCACCCAATCATAGCTGTCAACTCTCCAGGAGTCTCCAGAATTTGAACCGCATCTCCCGGTCTCCCGGATAAAGGTTGAAATCTACTGGATAATCGTCAAACTTGTAAAAATATGGTTAATGTACTAATGTAAGACGTACCCAAGATATGCCCGCTTATAATAAAAAAGCTATTTTTTGAATAATGAGCTTATAATTATAAGTAAGTAACTATCATTTTCTTTGTTCTATCGAAATATAGCTTTGCTTCCTGTCCATACAGCCCCCCCCCCCCCTTCCCCATTTGTGCCGTGACGTCACGTACTTACATAGTCCACCACAGGAAGCCCAAATCATGATTTCACAAATCTCCAGAATTGAAAAGTTGGGGGTTTGACAGCTATGCTCAATCCAACTCCACCCAAGTCCCCTGTACCCTCCCATGCTCTGATGCTTCTTCAAATGGCACTATATGTAACACACAACAGTTAAATCCACTGACAGAGTTTTATTGTTCTGATATCTATAATATTATGAATGTACGATAATTATAATTAAGCACCAATAAAACAACAAAGCACAATGCTTGATGTTTGCACAATGGTGTAATTAYAATTTAATTGCCATATTTCCATTTTCCCATTTTCATTCTTTTAACAAGTTGACGTTTTCAAATAATTTTTCTGAATATATTACAAATGATGTTACAAGATGTAATAATGCCAGCTAATTAAGTCGCACAATATGAAAGTTATGTAATGGTATATGAATCTCCAATTAAAGTTGTCCCATCTCCTTGAGAAATTGCCATTTCATTGCATTAAACAAGACAACARTGAACGAGATTGCTTTATTGTAGTTAAATGTTTATAAGTTTAATACTAGGTTACTGCAGAAAATATTGCATCATGTTTGGATTTGTTGTTTTCTGAGGAACTGAGGTGGAGCATAATTATTAATATTAATATGCCAATTAACGACAAACATTAGATTGGATTAACGAGGTTACTGCACTGTTCTGCTTACAATCAACTGAAGGAGTCTCAATAATATGCTTTTCATGAAAAAATAACTCGAGTCGRCGAGTCATATGCCGGCCTACATGATTGTATTTCTTCAAAAGTACAGCACAGAAAAATCATGAAGCTAATTTGAAGTTTTTCTGCATTTCTTTCAGGAAATATCGCTCTTTCCAGTATTATATTTAAATGAATAATTAACACAATCTCTGCAAGAGTTCTCAAAGACGAAGCTTCAAGTTTTTGATGAAATTGTTTTTGGTGATAGTACAGTACAATATTATGTAGTAACGTAGGTAACGATCACATGATGTTGAGTGTTCTGTTTGAATGTCTGATTTTGATGCAAATGAATGACAATTCTTTTATGAATGATGAATTCTACTAAAAGAATGTCCCTTTTTAGGCTAATTACAATTTGTAGGTAGAGTGCAAASACTAAAAGCATGATAAACTACTAACCAAACAGAGGTAAATAGCTCTTAATAGTGTAAATTATTTAGACAAAAAACAAGGGAATTTCTTGCATAACTCAGAAAAAGTTATCAACAAATTAATTAATAAATATGATTACCAAACTAGTTAATAATTAACTATTTA